AATATGAGCTGAAGGTTGAAATTTTCTGTGTGGATCATAAAACACGTAGTTAATAATTGTTGCAAATTTGGAGACGTTCCAGTGACTTTCAAAAGAGAAATCATGAAAAAACCGTTTGTTCATAAATTTCTGGCCACTACTGTATATGCGCCTGGTCTACTGCTCTACATACTTATTATTATACCAACGACTTATGAATGGTTGCAACACTTCAAATATTTGGTAGTCCTTTTGATCCGAAATGTTTTTCAGGTGATGCACTTTGTTCAACACCGTACGGATTTGAACGATATCCACAAAGCCTGCTCATCGGTCACGCCATGAAGGTATTTTTCTTCGAGTTTTCTGACTGGACCTGCATACCTTTTCAATTGGAAAACCATACAATGTTACAACTGATGGGCGTGATCAGTTGCGCTCCAAGTGTTTCTTCCCTGATAACGGCATAGATTAAGTTGTCCCAGAAATTCGTGCCGAACATTTTTTGAGTTAAAATTATTTCAACAAAAAGCAATGTACATAATAGTGCGCGCTCTTTTATTTTCCATTTCCAATGTTTTGCTTTTTTTCTGTCACTGCCATCACTTCGCCCTGTTGTTATTTTTAGCCGAGTGACTAGTTTTTTTTTCAAAATATTTGTGTAAAATCTCGGGTACCCCCTCAGAAGGCCCGTCGATCTTCTTGCCGCGCGATGGGCCTCCTGGGTAGTACCCGAAAATCTCGTGCGCACCTTCATGCTCTACGGCTCCAAACGGGGCTGTATAGCCTCTGAAAGCCATTGTTTATTTCAATAGATAACAATACGAAAAGAGCGCTCTATTATCCCTCATCATTGAAGGTAATTCTCGCTGCTGGACTGTCGGAATGCTTGTCAAAGTGTCTGACAGCCCCTGCTTCACTTCACACACAATGTCGATCAGCGATGTTCTTCTACGAGACCGGCGAATGCATCATAAACCGTGAGCGACGCAGTGACTGGCCAGAGCTGTTCATCGATGGCGTGCAGGACCAGCTGGTCGACTATTTTGAAAACAATTGCCAGGATGGTGAGGATAAATTTAACCTCACACACATGAATTGTGTCTATTTGGAGCATTCTTCCTAGATGCCCTAGTATCCCAAATCGTTTAGCGGCTATCTTGTTGGTTTCATATCACTGATTAGGGGACTTGTAGTGCTATGCTTTTGTGCAGCAAACACGAAACAATTTTTAGAAAATCGCCCAAAACTGCTCAAAAATGGAATTGAACACAATTGTGTCTCAATTTCATTTTTGAGCGATTTACTGTAAGTGTACCTACGGTGGCAGAGTTAGCGAATACGACCGATCGATAGCGAATCGCGGGTCACGAGCGATGCGCTAGCGATTCGAGCGGTGCGGCAGCGCTTCGAACGATACATTACATCGAAAAGTGTAGGAAAATGGTGGGGCTCCACTCCTTAGCATGTTGACTCTTCACACTTTCTTATATTTTGGGATCGCAAGAGCGCCGTTCAAACCGCCGGCGCAACTTTTCTTCGCAAAGTCTGACAGCAGCCCTTAGCGTCCAGGTGGCACTTACTGTTTCAACCCTCACTCTCCTCCAAGTGGGGGAACAGCGTCGTGTGTGGAAGTGGTTGGTTCGTCGCCGCGGGGATTATGTCGCTGGAAAAGATGCGTGGACAAGAGTAACACTTGGCGCTTGACCTATGAACATGCATAATTTTTCGAAGAAGGTGTTTCATAGGTTTTAGGAGAAAGATAGTGAAGTGCTTTGGACTTTCAGTGCACTGTTTCAACGGACAGCTGCACTGGATTCGAACGGAAAGAGTACTACATAAACCACGAGAAAGACGTCATCATCGAGAGCATGAGCATTGAAGAGTGCAAGGCAGTTTGTGAGGTCTCATTCATCTTTTCGTATTCAAAAAACACCTGCACGTCTGCTTTCTCACTTTAGGAAAATCTCATTGGAACTGAAAGATTCCCATGCAGGGCTTTCGTCTACAATGCTGTGCGGAGAGAACGAGTGCATGGTGACAGCTGAAACTGGGTAGGTGTTTCCACTACAGTGCGTTTCAAAAGTATAAAGCCACCCTTGAATGAAGCTGTTCCAAGTTAGAATGAAGGTTCCGTGATTTGATGAATAGTTTATCGAATTCAGCACGCTCTGAAACTATAGTAAACTTTGTTGTACAAACCACTATAAGCTAGAAACGGTTCCATAAGAAAATTTGAAAAACTCCCCTGTTTCAAAAGTATAAAGCCACCCCGGGCGAGTAGGCAACAGCGGTAAAAATTTTTGTTCCTGTTAACTCATTTGGAGTTCTTTGGCCATAATTAGCACAAACACATTACGTCTTCAATATATCTCGTGGATCTACGTTTTCTTTGGAAGAGCAAGTTCGTGCGAGGACGTTACATCGAGCTGCCCATTCAAATCGCTCCATTGCTGCTCAACTTGGACGTTCTCAAAGCTGTATCGACATTTCTTTTGAGGAATCCAGCTTATCATGAAAGGAAAGATCCCTGAAAGGTCACGTGTTCTGCTTGAGTATTATATCCGCCATATTAAACGATCCCTTTCCAATTCTACTGCGACCATCAGTCAGATCCGATACGAGCTCTCCCTTTTTGCTTCGAAAAGTTCCATCTGGAGGGTCGCTAACTCTGCTCCAAATATCGTGCGACAATCCATGATGAAGACTCCACGTCCGGAACAGCATCACAAAGCACCTCGTCTCGAACTCGCCCGGAGGAACATGCGAACGAGTTGGGGTTCGGTAGGTGATTCTACGGGGGTAGGGAGGACACTTTCATCATGACGTTTAGTTAATGGCTTGTAGTGTTCAGTTCATTTTCTGTGGTTGAAAGAACTTCAACTTAGACGGGCCGGATGGTCATCACAGATTCTGGAGAGATTTTAGCAAAGATCCGCTGGTATTTAGCAGGAGAGACTTCGGTGGTGGCGCATAGATGGTCTGAGCTGCATTCTACAGCGATGCTGTGCTCCCTCTGTCTTTCGTCTCGTGTCAAATGGACCCCAGTGAGAATCAGGATGCTTTTCTTAATGATCTTCTCTCGTTTCTGTGTGGAAGTCGTCGGCAAAACTTCATCTTTATGCACGATTACGCCACCATCCATCGCAGCCGGTCCACTCAACACCGGGTTTACGTCAACAAAATCAGTGTACTGGAATGGCCTGCTAGCAGCCTAGATCCAAATCCAATAAAAAACACCTGGGGTATCATTGTCCGACAGATATACGCGTATGGAAAGCAGTACAGTAACGTGGGAGACCTCAGACAGCCATCGAGACGTTTTCCTACCACCTGAATCCCGCTATACTTCTGAAGCTCACGGATAGTATGCCAAATGGTCTATTAAATCTCACTTCTAAAAAAGGAAGTCACGCTAGTTACTAATATTTACGATGTTCACTTTTTCTCTGGAAAAATAGAGTTATGTTGCAAGTGGCTTTATACTTTTGAAACAGGGGATATTTGGAAATCTTCTTATAAAAATGTATGTGAATCATTTTGTTTCCTGAAATAAAGAGAACAATGGTTTCCAAACACGCTGAATTCAATAAAGTTTTATGGCAAGCCATGAAATACTCACCTTAACTCGGAAAGTTAGTTTTCATGGGTGGCTTTATACTTTTGAAACGCACTGTAATCTCGTTTCGTACGGTCAAAAAAAAACCCCCGGCCTTTTTCTCGGTCCATCCTTTCTACGTCCATTGGCGGAAGGGTAGTAGCCGGCTTCCCCTTGAGGAACCGGCATATTTTAGAGGAGCAATTCAACCAGATTGACCCTAACCTTTGGTTCCTTCGCCATTGCGTATTTTTATTGATGTTGCAAAAGTCGTGTATGGATTTGTAGAGAAGTCTCAAGTTCTTCCAGGTACACGGGCAGGCGCGGCAATTCGTTCAATTTGAAGCCAATTTCCAGTGGAGAGTACTTCGAGAAATATTGCCTACAAGGTAAGGGTGGGCTTACTATAATAGTATGAGGCATATTTCAAGGTGTATTTTATTCAATATGTATATATGTCATAGTTCACAAAGTCCCAGTGTTTCGCTAATTTCAACTTTCCTTTTTGTTGCCTGAGAAAAGTTTTAACTTGGTGATGATTATTTGTGTTGGGTTTTCAGTACCTAGTAGACTGTTCAGGTCAACGATTACTGTTAGAGCTCCTGATTCCTTCAAAAACTTGCCACTCGACCCTTCATCTTCGCTATACGAGTTACTCTCATTCTTCTTACCCAACTCATCAATTTCGAGGTGGATGAAAACCACTTGGTTATCCTTGAATAGAGGGGACTTTCACGTCATGAAGGCAACTAAGCGACAAAGCATTAACTTTCGTGTTCCTCATTTTCAGAATCACTGGATAGAGACTTCTTACAGAAAAATACAAGGATTTCGGAACTGATCGATCCTTGTTCGAAAAGCGCCACGCATCTTTACTTCCGTTCAGAATCGAGTGCCATTTTGGAAGAGTTAAGCCAATAAAATGACTTGCCGGGCTACAGATGTACACACAAGACCCTGTTTAAATCCTCTCAGACAATTCTAAGCCAGTGAGCCGAACCCGGAATTTGGTTGGAATTTTCCAAATTTTGTTTTTTTTAAAATTCAAAAAAAAATTCCATTCGAGAAATCCCTGAATTGTAGCAGGTGATCAGCTGCACAGCTGAACTGTAAGCTTACAAGAAAACCAATTCTTTTAGTGTCGATCGCATGCCTTGAGGCTTCGTTCGAACAAGTCCCCGACAGGAAAATGTCTTCAACACCGTACAAGGTAAGAAGTTGTTGTGGGTGTCTGAACTAGGTTGTGCAACAAATTTATTTTTCAGGAGTTTGGTTCAACAAGTGTGCACAACTGTTTGGCAGGATGTCTGGAGGATGGCGCCCACTGCGCTACGGCCGTGTTCAATTACGAAAAGGTATGTGGTATAAAAACTCCCAAAGCATCAATGGTTCTTATTGGGAGGTACTCTTTGAACCAGGACATGCAGCATCGCCTGAGTAGGCCATTGATCTATTAGGCCGATGTCATAGTTTGCGAATCGAGCGATTCGCTAGCGAATCGCTGGATCCGAGCGTTGCGCCAGCGAATCGAACGTTGCACCAGCGAATCGAACGATGTACCAGCGACTCGACACAGAAAGTGGCGGGACCCAACGTTTAAAGGAAGTCCCGCCACTTTCAAACAGTGTCTTCCTTCAAAGTGGACTTCCTTGAACGTTGGTCCCGCCACTTTCTAGCAGTGTTGACTCGGTAGAGTCACTGGTACATCGCTCAACTCGCTGGTGCAACGTTCGATTCGCTGGCGCAACGCTCGTATCTAGTGACTAAACTAAACTACTATGACATCGGCCTAAGTCACAGACTACCCTTTGAGTGTTAGCTAAGCTTCACATCCGCGCCCACGTGGTATCGCGCCTATGACATTATTGCAATAGAAGGCGTCATATCCATTTGAGCTTGCCGTGGGCTCATCCTCACCTCTGTGATCCCAGTCTAGGCAATTAACTGAATGTGGTACCCTCCAACTAAATGCATCATGCGCGCAAGGCCAACGCCACCACGGCTGGAACATTCAAGGGATTCGTGCACGGAAGACAGCATGGTTTTTCTTTTCCGCAAATCGGTAGCTTATGCCTATCCTTCACCACAAGAACGAAAAAAAAACGATTACTCTGATGGCCACTCCAAAGAATGAAGAGAACTTCGCATTTTTGATTTGAGGTCGATGGCGGCAGAGCGCTCCCATTTGACACTTGGAGTGCCCTCGCTATTAAATTGTTTTGGATTCCTCACCTATAGCGAGAACATCCCACTTTTCTCTTTCATCCCAATCTATCGCACTGCACCGTTGTTCTTTTCAATTCGGAAAATCCATTCATCGTTTCCCATGCCTAATTCGTGGCTGCATCACCACGCGATTCGTTCCATGCGTCCTGTTGGCTCCGTTGGGGTCTGCGAACTGCCCACAAGGTATGGATTTGTGAATCTTTGCTTCATTTCAGTATGCATGAAACTAATCACGCTGCAACTAGAAGCCACCCATTCTCGCGAGGAGGAATGAAACGAACGTTCTCGTGCACATTTTCTTTAAGCACTTCCGTACACTGTAGCCCGTATTGCAAATGCCGTTCCTGCTTGCAACACCGCGCTGCGATCCGCATGCCCCAAACCACCACTAGTCTTGCAGTGGTGTGATCATCCTCTTTCTTTGAACGGACGATATTGGAGATTTAACGCAAAACCTACCTTCAGGATCGCTGCTCACTGTCAGAGACATCGCAGTTTTCACATCCAGAACTCTTCGTGAAGGCCGAAAACGTGGACTACTTTGACAAAATTTGCGATCCAGTGGCAGCAGAGAAGCGTACTGAATCGATTGCAGAACGTGATGTGGTTGTTGAAGGAGTGACATCGAACTCGATTGAAGACGAAGAGCAGCAAGACGACGACGATCGCGTGGTGAGTTTGAGAAAGCAGTATGCGCCACGACCTCCCCCCATCTCCTTCCTGGTCGTTTTTGGTTGGGATTAATCTGCATCTCTATTCATTGACTGACTGCCTTCAATTTTCTCCAAAAATCCACCGCAGAAGGGACGGGCAGATTGAAAGTCGTGAATGTCCCGTGAATTCCCCGCATAATTTTAAAACTTGTTCAGAAATCGGTAAGATACCAACTTCATACTCTTCGCCAAATAATTTTCCGAGCTTTCTACCACAATATTACAAATAACTCGCACAGGAGTGTGGAGGCAGGGCCCGTTTCTTGCTAACTCTTGTTTCCGTGAATTGGTTCGGTTGTTGACTTCTGGGTCAAAAATCGCTTTTGCTGCTAGATCCATCACTTACACATCATATCGATAATCATTCTTGAATGATGAAAAATGAAAAATAAGAACGAACAACCGCCCAGTGCAGGTTGAGAGTTGGAGAGTGGATATCCAGCGGTAAGGGCATTCTGAGGAATGCCCGCCTTCGGTGAAGCACGAAATGTGAGGCAACAAAGACGTGATATTATATGGGCTAGGCATTGGGATTAGCACTGGAAATAATACAAAATATTGTGCCGTATCCTGGTACGAC